GGCAGGGACAGTGTGTGTACAGGGGCAGTGTGCGGGCAGGGACAGTGTGTGGGCAGGGACAGTGTGTGTGCAAGGGCAGTGTGCAGGTAGGGGTAGTGTGCGGGCAGGGGCAGTGTGTGTACAGGGGCAGTGTGCAGGCAGGGACTGTGTGTGGGCAGGGACAGTGTGTGGGCAGGGACAGTGTGTGGGCAGGGACAGTGTGTACAGGGGCAGTGTGCGGGCAGGGACAGTGTGTGTACAGGGGCAGTGTGTGGGCAGGGACAGTGTGTGGGCAGGGGCAGTGTGTGGGGAGGGTCCTTCCCCCTGTACCTCAGGATTAGCTGCTTCCACTGGTGGTGCTAGCTGAAGTTGAACTCCACCAGGCACCCCAAGGTCGAACCTGCCACCCCAGCCACTGTGATGCCAGGGGTTGTGGGAGTGGTGGGGACACCCTGGAGTGTCCCCCCATGCGCGGGGCCTGTCTCTACAACTATGCTTCGCACTAATGGAGGAAACAGGCCACCCCGACCTTCACCTGGCCTGCTGTAGCTCATCTTCCCTGGACCCCTCGTCCAGCAAATCTGCCATTCCTTGGCTCTGGTGTGCCAGGGACCTCCCACCTGTGCATGTGTGCTCCCTACTACAGGCCCCAGTCTCGGGCCCAGGTAGAGGTCCCGGATTGAAGGTTTGCCTCTGTGTTACTGTTTGACTTTGACAGTCGAATAAAACTTTATCTGCATACATGGAAGGACCACAGAAGATGATGTATATCTCACGTGTTACGGGAGCTTCAAATGTGGAAACGTGAACAGCGAGTTCCCACCTTATGCAGAGGTTCTGTTCTGGGGGGACGTTTGTAAGTCAGATTTGTTCATACGCCTGGTCAGTCTTACACACCTTTGACACAGATGTGCAGTGTGTGTTGCTTTGCACGTCCTGGTGTCCCCTTCACGCCAGTGTGGATCTTCCTCTTGCTTCCAGGGAGCACACAGCGGCACAGCCGCCACAGCACTCAGCAGACCCCGAGCCATTTCTGTGATTCGTGTGCGTCTGCAGAAGTTCAGAGCATGAGGCCCGTTCGTATCTGACAGTGTGCACTGCAATGTTCCTAAGGCAGCAGCGACTTCCTCTGTGGATGTGAAGAGAGGAGGGCCTGCCCAGCCCTGCTCTCCAGCTCCTCCTGGATTTCTGTCCCCAGATCACTGTGAAGGAAATTCTAGACCCAGACAGTTTTCATCTGTAAATATTTCAGTAGATGAAAGAACTTTAAGTGGGAACCCTTTCTGTTCATGTGACTTGTTACCAAGTAGTTTATTTCAGAAATGTGGGGAAATTAATTAATTCATGGGTGGTAAATTTTCTGGGTGCAGGGAAATAAGGCCAATGTCACAGAATGGGACCTTGAAGTCATGCCACTTCGGGGTTATCTCTTAAAAAAAGAAAAGTGTATGAGAATAAATGCTGGGGACAGACTATACTGGGGTACAGTATCATCTTTTAAAAATTAATGGAAAGTAATTGGTTTTTTAAATAGTCTACTTAAGGGGCTGGAGAGATGGCTCAGTGGTCTAGGGCACCTACTTGGAACAAGATCGGCAAAGCACAGGGACCGCGGTTCGATCCTCCAGCACCACATGACAGCCAGCCGCGCCCCCTGGTGGGCTGAGCTGGCCACACACACACAATAAATAAATGTTAAAAAAGTAAAAAAATTAAAAAAAAAAATAAAAAGGTTGCATTTAAAAAAAAATAGTCTACTTAAACAAAAATACATTTTTCTTTAAAATTTAAAAGCTTGATTATATGTGCAGCTTTCAGGGTCTGTAGTTTCTGAGGCCTGCCGCGGTGGGCTGTGAGCCTAGCTGCTACCCTCAGAGCTGCCTGTCACCCTTGCCCCATAGCTGGGGACACAGTTGTGGCAGGAGGAGAAGGCTGCAGAACGTGATAAAAGGCAGTGGGTGAATGAGCAGAGGGAGAGCTGCTGGTGTCCATGGGGAGGGTGGAGCACTCAGCATCGGCCTGACCGCGGCGCCCTTCTGTCCACATCAGGGGCCAGCACGTCGCTTTGTAGAGCTCAGCTTCCGAGCTCCAGATTTGTATGAAAAGGCCGGACCCAGCGTGGAGGGTAGGAGGGTTGACAGCATCAGCACCGCTTCCCAGAAGCCCACGGTGCGGAAAGCGTGGTGCCGCTGAGGGTGAGAAACGCTGCACGAGGTTGTCGGGTCGTGGACCAAGGAGCAGGGAGAAGAAAGTGGTGCTAGAGTGGGGGGCGTGCCGGGCCTCACACCAAGACGCTGCTCTGGTGCCTGTCACGGGCATGAGCAGTGGGCCACAGACCGCAGTGGAGAGCATGTATAAGAGTGAAATGTGCTGAGCAGTTTGGGACACATGCACAAGCAGTGTCCATGAGAGGAAGGCTGGTGACTTGGACTTCATTAAAATTTTAAATTCTTGCTTTGCAAAAGATCGTGGAAAGAGAAGTAGAGACCGAAAGCAGGGAAAGGGAGAAAATATTGACACATGGCTGATACAGGCTGGACTCAGATAAGCGTGGACAGTAAGGCAGTTGGGAGGGTAGCTGGGCCCGGGCCAGGAGGTATAGGCAGCTGACTATGGCTGGAGGAGCCTCCGGGGGACCCAGCCATGTGTAGGATGCTCGCGCAGGGGCGGGAAGTAGGCAGAGCTGTGGGCTGGGCTAGAGCTGGGCTGCATCTAGGGCCCCCTTTGTGCAGGCGTAGCTGCCTAGCTGCGCGCTGAGAGCAGGAGATGGAGATTCCTGCGCACTGCACGCAGCTGGAGGCTTAGGACAAAGACATTACGAAAAGAAACGTGAACTCCTGTGAAGGCTGTAAAAACCACACTCGGCTTGTGCTGGGCGGGTAGGGCTGTGTGGGGTGAGAAGTGTGGGTTTGTGATCTTGGAGTCTGAGGCTGACCAGGTAGAGGGCCACACATTCCACCTGGGAACAGAGACCACGTGCTGCTAGACACGGGTGGGCAGGGCCAGGCCACGAGGTACGTGGTGCACAGAGGAGCCAAGGGAGAGGTGCTGCGAGGCGCGTAGGCTTGGATTGGCTGGACAGAGGCTGAGGGCACTGTCGGGGCGTGCGGCCACCAGAACTTCCTACCTTCTCTCCCGACCGCATCCTCCAATGAGAGGGGCCCTGCTGTCACTTGAAACCCTGCACGCCGCAGTGTGGACGCTGCTGTGCAGACCCTGCGCTGTGCCGTGTGATGCAGAACCTGCCTGATTCTAACCTGGAGCCTGCTGTGGGCACCTTCCACCTACCGTGTGGACACTGAGGCTGCCTTGCTGGAACCTTGCGGTGTGGACACCGGGCCCCCCGTGCAGACTTCCCCCACTGCCTGTCACACCTGGTCACCCTGTGGCGGGAGGGTGGCTGGTGGAGATGAATGAGGCAGCAGGCTGGCCGCTGCTGGGCGTGGGTTAGCCGCGGTGGCCTGAGCTGATGGGAGACATCATTACGTGAAACTGTTGCTGATGGACTTTACACTGGTCTTGGATTCTCTGGAGCCAGGTGGTGCGTTTATGCTGGTTTTGGAGTACACCTTCCATTTCAGGAGTTATCTTTTGGGTCAACAAATGGAAAGATTTCAGCTAGCACTAATTTTTGAATTACCAGTTTTGTGTCAAAACCTAAACATTTTGTGTTTTGAAGTCTAGTGCTGCTTATTATGTTAGAAAGTGAAATCTGTTCAGAATGACTCACTCAGTCTTTCTTTTATGCAGTACACATTTTGGAACTTCATACCTAAGAACTTATTTGAGCAATTCAGAAGGATCGCCAACTTCTACTTCCTCATCATATTTCTGGTACAGGTGAGTCTGCCGTGGCTTCCTGCCCATGCAGCTGGCATTTTATTCCCAAGTGGCCTCCCTCGGCACCCTCCCTGCCGCTGGGCCCCTCAGGGTTGCTGTGTACACCCTGGTCCTGCCCACACCCTCCCTGGGCTGAGGGAGATCAGCGCTGGTGCATCCCGCTTTCGGAGGCTGGTGCTAAGTCCACCTCAGGTAATCCTGAGAAAATCCAGAGAACTTGCACTTGCAGGGTGCGGATTAGGGAGTGTTAATTCCATTTTCAATTCCATTTTACTAAATCATAACAGTGTGATTGAATGATTTTTAAGAAGTTTCCCTGGGATTGAGTTTTCCGTATAGTGTCATCACAGTGCAACCGCAGCAGTAGCAGCGTAGGGATTAGAAGGCATCTGAGTCCTGGCTCTCCTGTGCTTCCTAGGCAGGGCTCCCTCGAGAGTGTCCCTTCACAAGAGCGGCGCTCAGATCCCAGCCTGGAATGGGGGCGTGAGCCTCCGCCTGCTTGTCTGGGGCTGCTGTCCCAGTGCAGGGCCCTAAACAGGTGTCTGCTAACGATGCCTCCACAACCCCCACAGCTGATCATTGACACGCCCACCAGCCCAGTGACCAGTGGACTCCCGCTCTTCTTCGTCATCACCGTCACGGCCATCAAGCAGGTAAGAGTCCACAGTGAGGAGGAGGCAGTGTGGCCGCCTGGCCGCCTCTCAGAATGGGGCCCTCAGATGTGACGGCTGCTTCACAGAGGCTAGGACGGGCGGGCCCTCACGTCCAAAATGCTGCCGTGGACACCTGAGTCGCATGGCGGGGCTGCTGCTCAGTGTCCTCCAGTCTGGATCTGAGCATCCTGTGCCAGCCAGGCCGGCCTCCTTGGTGCACGCGGCAGCGCCAACAGGGGCCCATGGGTGGAAAGGTGTGTCGTATTTGTATATTTAGTTTAGCTGCCAGGTGCGCATGCGCAGTATTCTACAGGGATAGTTGTCTTTGGGGTGCATTGTAAGGGTTCTACATTCTAGAGATGGGTCCCTTCTTGGCCACAGATGTTGTATTTAGAAGTCAGTGCTTCCTTTGAGATCTGGGTAGTTTAGCTTTCTGGCAGTCACTGTCTTGCTGGCAAAGCTGTGCTTTTCTGGCATTAGTCTTTTTTTTTTAATTTAAAATTTTTTTTTTAATTTTTATTTGTGTGTGTGTGTGTGTGTGTGTGTGTGGCCAGCTCAGCCCACCAGGGGGCGGGGCTGGCTGGCATGTGGTGCTGGGGATTGAACCGCGGTCCCTGGGCTTTGCTGAGCTTGTTCTAAGTAGGCGCTTTAGACCACTGAGCCATCTCTCCAGCCCCATAAGTCGGTGCTTTAGACCACTGAGCCATCCCACCAGCCCCTGCTAAGCTTGTTCCAAGTAGGCGCTTTAGACCTCTGAGCCATCTCTCCAGCCCCATAAGTAGGTGCTTTAGACCTCTGAGCCATCCCACCAGCCCCTGCTAAGCTTGTTCTAAGTAGGCGCTTTAGACCACTGAGCCATCTCTCCAGCCCCATAAGTAGGTGCTTTAGACCTCTGAGCCATCTCACCAGCCCCCAGGGCATTAGTCTTCGTTTAAAAAAATCTAGAGCACTTCGAGGTCTGGGGTGGGTGCAGCCCTTCGCTGACAGGTGTGCTGCTGTGGGGCTCGTGTTACCTGGTACATGTCTTCTCAGGGACCCAAGTCCCTCCAGGGGTGTCTGTTCTCCACAGGAAAGTGTGGGTTCTTTAAGTACAAAACTGTCTGGAGCACTTGGCCCAGGCTTTCTCACTCAGTCGCAGGCGGGACGTGCAGGCCCAAGAACTGGCGCCTCTGTGGGACTTGTGGGGCTGGCCTGGCTCTTGCCATCTGCAGGGCGAGCGGCAACACCGTGGCAGCCAGTGGTGTCGGCAGAGCCTCCGGCGCTTTGGTCAGCTCGGCTCCGTTTCTGTTGAAGGCTGCTCCTGGGAGTATGTCAAGGGTGTGCACACAGTGCAGTTACGCAGAGGCGGCTGCAGACACCCCCAGTGGCCTTGCTGCATGGAAATGTCTAACCAGGCGGTGTGCGCTCAGGAGCGCGTGCGTGGTGCAGGCGGGCGCCGGCAGAACGTGCCGCCACCTGGGCTGGACTCCGGCGCACTGTTAGCCTGCCCTTTCTCCCTCCCATGCAGGGGTATGAAGACTGGCTCCGCCACAAAGCTGACAGTGCCATGAACCAGTGCCCTGTGCACTTCATCCAGCACGGCAAGCTGGTGCGCAAGCAGAGCCGCAAGCTGAGGGTGAGTGCCGCCGCACTGCTGCCGCCCGGTTTAGCCGGCTCGTGGGCTCACCTCACTGGCCGCCTGTGTACGCACAGTGACTGCAGCCCGTGTGCCGCGTGGCCCCCAGAGTGCCGACAGCGCAGAACTGAGACGCCGCTCTCTGCACTGTTGCGTTGAGAGTTCCTGTACTTGGCCCGACGTGTGGGCTCCTTGGGCTGGAATTTTCTGTTTTGATGACACGGATTCGCTGCTTTTTCCCCTGGGGGTCCTGCTGCAGCAGTGTGACTTGGCCCCCACCCAGCTCTGGCTCCTGCATGCCCTTCAGTGTTGGTGGTGCCATGTTTCATGTTGATATTTGGGCCCCTTTGAGTTTGTTGTTTTTGAGCAGTAAGGTTCTGGTAGCCACAAGTTCGGGCCCCCTAAGTCTGTGGCTCCCTTCACTCATGGGAAGCTCCTCCTCCCCTTGTCATTCACGAGGGAATCAGGGTTCCTGCACCACACTGAAATGATTCAAACTGGGCCTGAGTGAGCCCACAGGGAGCCCTGGCCGTGACGGCCTCCCACAGAGGTGCAGCTCACTGACCGTCTGTACTCCTTCATGTGCAGGTGGGGGACATCGTCATGGTCAAGGAGGACGAGACCTTTCCCTGTGACTTGATCTTCCTGTCCAGCAACCGGGGCGATGGGACCTGCCACGTGACCACTGCCAGCTTGGACGGAGAGTCTAGCCATAAGGTGATGTGCCTCACCTGAGACCAGTCAGGGGCCAGGCCCTGGGGCCAGGCTGGGAGGAACACTGAGGTCCTGGCCACAAGGAGCGCTGGGGACCACGTGGCCATTGCCTAGGCCCTTGCTCTGGTTTTTGTGTCCTCCACTCCTTGCTTTCCACCCAGAATGTCTGAGATGAGCAGATAGCTCAGGTGGACAGAACAACTTCCACATTAGCCTGGGGACGAAGCTGGTGCTGAGTCTAGGACTCGGTGACCATGGTCCCGCCACTTCAGAGCCTTCACTGGGTGGCTCAGAATTCATGCCTTTCCTTGTCTGATGTGCAAGAGAAGCCACACAGCCTTGGTCCTGCCTGGTGATTACTTTCAATTCTTTATTGCCGATCTGAAAGGGATTTTCTGGAGCTGCAGTTGCGCTCAGTGTGGAGTTCCATATTGACCGCTGCTCCTGCAGAGGTTTTACTCACCACAGGAGGGCTGGCCTAATAGCTCAGTGGACAAACGTGCCTGCTTAGGCAGAGCACAGCGGCCGGGGTTCAGTCTCTGGCATGCCGTGCCAGCCCACCCTCAGGCACGCTAAGACAGCAATTGAGACTGGGCATGGTGGCACGCGCCTATAATCTCAGCACTTGGGAAGCTGAAAATAGGAGAATCACTATGAGTCTGATCTACGTGGTGAGACCTGTAGACCCTGTCCTAAATACAGAAAAAAAAATCGCAAGACTAAAAATGGAGCACTATTAATTTAAAAGTTTGTCTTACTTAAAAGAACCTCGAAGTTTCAGGAGGTTCTGAGAGGAACTGTGACGCGGTGGAGTCAGCTGCTGCTGAGACCTCAGATTATATGATTTGGTCATGCTGTGAGCATAGATAGTTTCTGATGTGGAATGGAGAAAGTTCTCTTTATAAATCAGCACAGCACTGTGAACTTGGGGACTTTCATAGTGTGTTTTACACTGCCTGTGGCGCCTTCCCTAGGGAACCAGCGCTCGGCCATAAGCAGTTACATCAGGACAGCTGGGGCGACAGAGCCTGCCTGCTTGTGGGCTCACCACGTACTTGGGAGTTCAGGCTCAGTCACCCTGAGACCTCGTCCTCACCCTCCACCGTCACCCTGAGACCTAGCCCTCGCCCTCCGATGTCACCCTGAGACCTCGTCCTCACCCTCCACCAATGTCACCCTGAGACCTAGCCCTCGCCCTCTCATGTCACCCTGAGACCTCGTCCTTGCCCTCTGATGGCAGCATCTGCTGTCCGCTCTGTCTCAGATCACGTGGTGTTGGCTCAGGGGCCCAGAGCCTCGCTGACCAAAAGGAAAGCTTGCGGCCTTCACTTTGGTCCAAAGCTGGAGGGTGGTGTGTTCACCACTCCACGCCCACCTCAGGGCCTGAGCTTGACCCTCTCCTAGGTTCTCTGGAGTTTCTTCCACATGTTTGCTTAGGACAGAGGGTCAGGGGAAGGGCATGGCCACTCAGGGTTCCCACATAGTTCTTAACCACCCAGGCAGTCTCTCTGCCCTTTCTGAACCATCCACATCTGCAAATCGAGGACAGACTCATCCCTGAGGGCCTCTTGGGAGAAGATAACGGGGAATTCCATTTAGTCGTGGGTGTGCCCAGAGTGCCCAGCACGACCATCACGTCCCTCTGACATCAGTCCTCTAGGAATTATCTTCCCACACTTGATTGCAGAAGACACAGGAGGGGATGTGGAGGTGCAATGCCTCCCCAGCAGACCGGTGCATGCTCTTTTCCTCTCCCTTGATACAGCCCCATGCCCAGCACCCCCACACACAGGTTCTGTGTGGGCTGGTGCTTCCCTGTGTGGACCTAGACCAGCACCAGTATCTTGGCACCCACCTGCTACCCACATTAGGAGCTTGGAGTAGGGCACAGGCAGGCTCTGGCGCCTTCTGATCCAGGCACCGTGCAGTTTGGTAGGAGCCATGCTGGGCCAGCAGGGCCCAACCTGGCCACCTGGGCCGGAGTTGGGAGAGCAGAAGGACAAGTTGGAAGCCTCTCAGCTCCCAGATCTGCACCTGGTGTGGCTGCCACAGGCCCAACAGACCCGAGGGCCAGTGTGCAGGAGCGCAGCCCTGTGCTGGCCCGCAGTAGTGAAAGGATGTGTCCTGTCTCGCCTTCAGCAAGCAGAGTGAGCTGGGCATCTGTCCGGTGCTGTAAAACAGGCAGGAGGGCCAGGCTCCTGTGTGCATCAGGACCACGCCTGTGTGGACACCACAGCCCAGTGGAGTCCAGGGTAAGTCCTGTCTCCTGTCACCTGTAGACGCACTATGCTGTCCAGGACACCAAAGGCTTCCACACCGAGGAGGACATCGACGCCCTGCATGCCACCATCGAGTGCGAGCAACCGCAGCCCGATCTCTATAAGTAAGCGGGGTGCGTGAGGTGAGGTGTGGGCATCCCTGTGCATGGGTGAGCCACACATGACAGGGTTGGCCACCACTGAGTCCAGTCTAGCTGGACATGGTGCCGTCAGGCGTGTTTGTAGGCTGTCCTTGTTCAGATCTGTAGCTCTTTATTCATATTAAAGAAACTCAGTGGGGTTCACTATATTGCATAAAAAAGGCTTCTTCATTTTGAGGAAGCCGGCTATAAGCCAGTATGAGTCATTTAGGCTGTGGGCCGGGGGAGCAGAGCGAAAGTCACAGGAGGCAGACACAGAGTCAGCCTTAGCCTTGTGATCCCTGGCCCTGAGGGAGGCCACTGGGCACACGCGGGGCCCTGCAGGTACACCCTGACCTGCTGTCCCCCTGCAGGTTTGTTGGACGCATCAATGTTTACAACGACCTCAGCGACCCTGTGGTGAGGTGAGTCTTCCAGGATTAAGCTGCTGCTTAGAAGTTGGGGCCTTTATGGATGAGTTTTCCCCCTTCGCTCCTGTGCTGGCCCTGAAAACCGGGTTCCACCCCAGGAAAGCACTGTGCTGCCATCTCCCTGGTTCCTGGGGCACTAAGGGCCCTTGTGCAGGGTGGGCCTGGCTGGTGCCACCACCCCCGAGTGCCCTGGGACTGCCTGGCCTCTCAGAGTCGAGCTGTTGTCTGCTAGGAAGGTGTGCAAATGTTCCAGTTTGGGAATTGGCTGTGGTGGGGTTTCAAGCCATTCCTTTTCTATAAACTCTACTGGTTGGAGAAATTATCTTTCCTCTTTCTATAAGGACTTAAAGTTCAACTTATCAATATCTGATGGAAAATACCTGTTCCAGGATATGCCAAAATATTTGATATTTTGACAGATAGGGTAAACCAAACTGCATATATTGCAGGTATTTTATAATTATTTTATAATTAGCTTCTCTTCTGGAGGGTTAACAACCTAAGTTAGCAGATCAAAATTGGAGAAAAGGAAGG